TCACAATAATATTGTCAACACTCTGGGCTTTTATAGTTAGGCACACATAGAAGGATATGATTATACGTACAAAAAATAATTAAAATATTATATCGATTGTTAAGTGTGCATAATAACAGACACACAAATAACCATTAAAATCTCGGACACGTTAATCGATTCAGTTAATAAACTACAACATTGAGTACACGTGAACGGCCAATAAAGATGTCTAATCGACGATTGACCTGAAAGGGGTCGGTCTCGAAAAGGTGATCGATTACTTGTGTGTGTGTGTTGGTGTTTTTTTTTTAGAGAGCTTCTGCAGCCTATGTAACGCGAATGCATGGTCGGTGGTCCATCGAAAAATGGATCCGCTGTAAAACGCATAAGTGTTTTTCATTTTACCCACAGATTTTTTTTATTAATAGTAAAGTAGTTAATAGACCCAATTAATCCATCACGTCGTGTTTATCGTATAAAAGCTAATCTTTACTATGTTAAGTAAAAAACGATTGAGAAACGTCTGCGGTCAGCATAAAATACTGACGCGGAGATATTATTTTGTAAAATATATACTTAACGGCTTTTAAAGACCTGAACTTGAATTTTTCGTGATCCGTGTGCGTAAATAGTTTAAATTCGCTCACCCCGGTGAGTTCTAGTGGCTAAAACCTCTTGAATTCCAGAATGACACCACATAATTTACATATTATCTGTTAACAATATACCGTAATGGCGTTCAATGACGAGATACCGTTTTAAAACCGTATATCTGTAAAAAGCTTTTAAAATGTGACAAACTATATCATTATTATTATTATTGATTATTCATTCGTGTCACGGGTTTTCTATTTAGTATACCAGTTTGCCCTCTGATCATGAAATCATTTTAATATTTACACTTAAATCGAAATATATTATTTATGTTTGATTTGCTGTTTTTAATGCAAAGTGTGCTAGATGACCCATCCTTAAACGCACAATAGTTTAGTATTTGTCGAAAGCGTTAATTAGTTAGAAGGCGCTAATAAGAGAAACTAAAAGAATTTTTTAATGGATCCGTGCTCAAATATTGGCATAAAACGTTTGCTCAAGCAAGAATCTGAAATAGAAATATCTATGGAAATTGTTGTAAAGCAACATGGTTAGTATAAATGAATTTGTAAAAAATGAAATTCAAACACACTCGACAAGTTGTTAATTTTGTGAATGTTATTACAAAAATGTACATCAATTTGAAATAGTATAAGTGCAATAATACTCCGTCACGTATTAAAACATTTTTTTTTTTTTGCATAATTTTTTTATTCGTGTTGTGATGTTAAACAGTCTTGTTTCTAGATACTTGAGATAAAAAATTGGATGTTTATACAAGTTAATATTGTTTCGTATAACTTAATCATTATTAACCGTATAAAAATAATTATTTTATTTTAATATAGTACGTTTAAAATTATAATTTTTATCGAATAACTAGTCTGGTTTATTTATCTTTTAATAAATTTAAATAATTTAAATAAGCAATATACAAAGTACATAAATTATGTCTATCTGAAAAAGTACTATTATTGAAAATCAAGTAACCGTAAAATCATCATTATAATATAGAATTGAGATAATTTTTTTTTAATTATACTAATGCACATAACTTTCAATAAGGTGAATGTCGTTGTTTAGAGCATTGAATTGATTACCAGTTGAATGAAAACAAATAAAAATAACTGGCGAACTATATGAAATGATTAAAGTGTTGTTGACCGCGCTCTATGCGTCACCGCAGTCGTGGCAGCACTATCTGTTCGTTGTACGAGGGAATCCCGTGGACATCGGCTTGACGCTGTGGTGCTTCTGCAGTCCAATGCTGCTGCACCATCAGCAGCCGCGGCGGCGGCGGCGGACAAGTTCAACCGTGGGAAATACGCCTTCGCATCAATCGAGGGGCAGGCTAGACACACGCGCGAAACATACACCACAACAGTGTATGTTTATAGATACTTAAATAAGTCGGCGGCCATGTATTGTTGTTAAGTGGGCAGACGTCGTAGGACGACCGACGGCGGCCGTTAGAGGCGATGCATATAATAACAATATAATATCCACCGTCGTCTGTATGCCGCCTAGAAGCGTGGGCGGCACTAGGTGCAGTGGTGGTTATATGAAACGCACGAGCCACGGCGGCGTAAAGCGCACACCTCCCGCAGTGTCCGCCGTTGATGACCGTCCGTTTGTTACGACATTGGGGTAATAGAAGAAGAATAATAGTAATCAAACGACTACGGCGACAACAAACAACAATAACGCATAAAAGAAATAATGATAATAGTAAATGTAAAAAAAATAGGGAGAGGTGTAATGAAGATACATGGAAAATGAACACTCCGGGTACGTATTGAGTGGACGCACATCGCACCGCGATTAAGATGCTGATGATGATATACTAACACTACCTATAGCTGTAACCAATAACTATGTACAGTTCCAGAAGAATAAATAACGCGTGTGACTGTGTTGGACGTCACTACGATGGTGGCGGCGGCGGCAGCAGCGGGGAAGCGCCGACCGGCGCCACACACGGTGCGGCAGCGGGTTCGAAAACACAAATGGGGATCGGTGGCGGCGGAGACGCAACGGGACGCGCGGCTCAGCCGCGGTGTCGCCGTTTCAATCGATGTGTGATTACACTGTGACTATTGATCATTGGTAATTTGCATTACACTTGTGTTAGATTTCACGTATATCAGATATACGCCAACTACAAGACACTTTTGATTTCTTTATCAACTTTATTTCACCTTTTTTTTTTTTTTTTTTAATATTTCTTTCAGAGTCCTCTTGTAAAAAGTACATTTTATCGAGCACGGATTGTATTTTTAATCCTTCGTTGAACATTTACAAATTAGAGAAATTCGAAAATTGTCAAAAATATTTGTCGATTTTTCCGATTTCTTTCTACGGGTTTGCCAATGATTTGTGGAGGGCTTACTCAGACATTGGCATTTAGTATTTTCAGTTCCTGTTTTAGGATCTTAAATGTTAGATAGTGGTATTTACTCGTCAGACCACAACCCGTAGCAGACCAATTTGCTTCGCAAACCGCACCAAGAAGCTTAGTAATGTTATTGTTGTTTTGTATTTTTTTTCTTTCTACCGTCTCTATTGCAGTGGGTACACCAATAGTGTCCGTGACAAATTACGATTTAGGAATACATTGTACAATAGTTGTTGTGGGACGTTAATTAACGACTATCTGCTTCTGTAATCGATCGAGTGAGTAATAACAATAATAATTGAATGAACAAAAAAAAAAAAATCCCAAATTAAACGTACAGTAGTGGTAACGCACATCAGAGTGACTTGGACGTTGCGGATAGATATTCGTACGGTGCGAACAGTAGTAGTTACAGTAGGAGATGTACGTGACCGTCCGTGACATCGACCTGTGACTGAGAGGCGGAATCGACAATTCGGCGCTACAAGCACAATTACCTTAACGATTATTAGAAATTTCGTTTTCCATCAATGAGATTTTCCCACAGGATCGCTTTGTGTGTTCATTCGTTTGCCAATCGACCGTGGTTGATTGGGTTCAGTAATTAAAACGATACATTCAAAATCGTAGACCCGAGAACTTGAAATTTAATTTTCTACGACGGGAAATCGTCGTCGTAATAACAGCAATGTGCACACAGAACGTATAAAATCGGCAGTGGTCGCTCCAAAATAAATAAATAACTCGCATCCGGTTGTATGTGCCTCACTCTGGTGAAAAACAAATACAAAACATTGAGAAGATTTAGGAGAGTTTGTTGATTTTTCTGACATCTGTATATACCTTTACAATGTTACTTTAGTCCATCTGTACTCGTGTCATTACGCGCGACATTTGTTTCATTCGGTACAAGTCTTTCCCCCTCCCCCCAGAATATTTTTAAAACAATCTTCTAGCTTTTTTTTTATGCTATCGACCATCGTACACTAGTGACATGTTTAAGAATATTATCACAGTGACGTACCTATATCCGTAAATTCTTGGTGACTAACTTGGAATACTTGTGCGCATAACCCGACAGTCGTAATTTATCTGGAGAATCCCAAGAATAATAAGTGTCCTAAAAATACAGACACGCACTCGACGTTTTTCGGTCGGTTTTTTATCATTTGTATGTGTATATATTTTTGCCGATCTATCTTCTACCTCATTTTATATGCGCACCATGGTTTACTAGCCGTGTGTGTATTTAATATTATTATGTCGTGTGCAACGGACACAACAATCGTACCGAAACAGTTTTTTTTTATTCACTGTGAATTGTTAATATTAATGATAAAAAAAAACTGAAAAGCGACCGCATATTAGAGATGTTCTAGGTTCTAGAATAATATGGAAAAATGATCTAATACTTGTGTCTACATTAAGGAGAAAACCGTTTGAATAATAAGATGTGTAATAAACAAACCATGGTTGCCTTTGATTTAATTTCATGCACGTGATCAACATACACTATTGGCTTCTTGCATAGCACTCTATTTAACCGTATAATTATAGAGTTATGGCATTCCAAGAATTTTATTTTATCTTTAATCGGCAGAAAAATAATTGCGTTATTAAAATTGGAAATTATTATAATAAAATGGCTTATTTCACGATATACTATGTTATTTTCAGACTGATAAATATCGTGTCACGTTACTAATAATGAATATTTATACGCACAAATATGTATAAATTTGTATATTAACTTGGTACATTTATTTATTTCAATAATTAAATGAAATTATTTTACGGTTATCTAATCAATTACGTTCAATTTGACCAGTAAGTTTCGTTATATCACTAACCTACAAAGAGACAATACTTTTTGGATCTACGTCGTTTATTGAGAAAATAATTGATTATTTTACACTTTTAAAATTAAAATAACTGTACTTTCAATAGGCATCCCTGATAACAATAAAATATAAGCAACCAAAACCCAATGAAACTATTTTTGTTAATGAACAAATATTTCGTATTACAGATGACCGGAAAGCGGAGGAGAAGCTTTAAATGTGCCATTCATCACAGAGACAAAGAAGTTAACAGTGAAAACGATTTTCATATATTACTAAAAGAACCTACCCTACAACAAAAGTGAGTTGTTATATTACAAAATTATTTATTCTTATCGCGTTGTCTTCAAAGTTCTGAATGGAAACAGATCGTTTTACCATTGGCAAAAAATCCCGTATGTTATTTAGGTATTTTTCTAACATTAACGTGACTTGTTAATAAAAAGGTTACTTCTAACACCATTGGATATGTTAATTAGTTGCTTTAATATACCCAAGTGTTTAGTCTATTTTATAATTGTACGGTGTATTAAAACATGTAGTGCAGTCAAAATTTTCACTAAAAATAGATCAAATTTTTTATTTTAAAAAAGAGAAAAGCTCGAATTAAAAAAAAAAAAATTCTGACTACCGATAACTTATATTTTTAACCAACAAGGGTTGTACTGATAAATAATTTATATATAATAACTGACATAATTGTTTTATATTAAGATTAGTAAATATTGTACTACTTTATTGTAGTACAGATGTTAAGCTAGTGAACTATTCATAGATATAATTTTATATAAACAATTGAAATTTTTTTATAAGATCAGTAAAATATATTGCTATAGTGACATCAAATTTCAAAATTCGTTAAAAAAATATTTATAATTATAACAATTCTAATAATACGATTTATGAAATCATTAAATTTTGATATCGGTGTCGAATTTCTGTCCCGATATAAATATCGTATAGTGCTATCAATATTTTTGCTCAACGCTAGTTATTATACTTAATTAGGTATTTCACGCGTCAGATAATGAAATTCATAATCAATGAAATAAAGGCTTTACTAAAATAATCCCCATAGCGTTACTAATTTGTAAAACAGCCGTGACCTAATGTTAATATGGATGTAGGGTCACGCTTAAGAGCCGTTTAATTTCAAATTTGAACTTCACAAAAGTTCAAAGTTCCAAATGCGGTCTTTTTGATAACCCTTCAGACCGCCAATCGATAACTACAAGCATTTTTCTCATTTAATTCCGTTGAAACTTGTGTATTTTGTTAGAACTTTTTTCTGAGTTTCTCCATGATGTGTCACCGATGATCTATTCGCGTGGTAACATTGTGATAAGAACATTAATACTCTCTCCCACTTTCTTACTATTTTTAAAACAGTTTTACACAAATCTATATATTAGTTCTTATTTTATATATTTAATATATAAATATATATATTTTATTTTTTGCAGAATGGTACGTTTAGTAGCAGAGGAGTTCTTAACGGACGAAAGAGATCGAAAATACTACGCGGACAACTATCGATGCTGTCCACCACCTCTGTTTATTCTCCTGATAACGATTTTTGAAGTGAGTTTTATCAGCGCTTAGTGAAATATGCAAAATGAAAATCATTTTTAAAATAAGAAAAATAAGTCGGTATATAGCTAAGGATCTCTTAAATGCATAGTTAGGTATTAGTGTATTTCCCGAAAAGTGGTGATGGTAGTCGAGGTAGTGCAATAAATAACCAACTGCCATCATTAGTTGAATAATTATACACTTTATACACATAGGTACTATTGGTATACTCGAACGCCAAATAACATGTGGCACGTGACCCGAGTTGAGAGTAAAAGTGTGCGGAATAAAAAAAGAAAGGAAAAATAAGAAATTGTAACAGATGTCAAACGCGAGTTAAATTATATACCCTCTGGGGCTAAGCGGGAGTCGCTACAGAGAGACTATTTCCTATTTTCAGGAAACCATTAACCGTTTACAGCTGTCTGTCTCAACCTTATCCCTTACTTAAACCTCTAAAAATGAAAAAAATAATATCCCTTTGAATTTTTCGGATGATTAATTTCTTTCAGGCGTACGTTTGCAACACGGCATACAGCGTGTGTCTGACTGGCATATACTTCAGAACACCACCTCATCCCTAATTGCATGCCAATATCTACCCGAATAAACGTATTCACGTGCGTTTTTACTCAATTATGAATTTTTTTATTAACTGGAGAAATTCAATTGTTTTTGTAATTTAATTTTATAACGGAAAAGTTGTAAACGATTAAATTCGTATTTATTTTACTTCGTTAATTATGTGTAATGGAGAATTTTGAGGCATAAAATGTGATCAGATTAGTTTTGTAAATCAGTAGTCTTAATTTATTAAATAAAATGATTTATTTCCTGAAATAGCCCTAAGACTATTCGTAAAATAGATAGTCAAATTCAATTTAAAGAGTCGTCAAAAATTAATAAAGTACTGTCTTGGTTCAAACCTATTGGTGTGTAGTAATAATAAACCTTTATAGATTTATGTTAGTTCTCTCTCTTTTTACTTACATTCACCAAATCCCATGACATATTGTCATTATGACCAGCATTATTGAAGTGTACACGATATCTATTTTAGTACTTACACATTATTATTATGTCGTAAAAATACCGCTGCAGAAATGGGATGTAATACATTTCGTATGGTTTACTACAGTGTATATAACATATATACTGGTAACTTAATGCCGGAAATCGAAACGTCTGTGTAAATCAAACGAATGTTATGAGGCACAGAGGGAAGGGACATTTGCCGTTCGTTGTTTTCCTGTTTGGGATTTCTCCGAATGCATAGTAAACATTTCCATTTTTAAGTAAAAAGCATATTACCCTTTTTGGCTGACAAACTTGATACGCTTTTTTGTAATGAACTAAGAGTAATGTTTTTCACTCAAAGATTATAACTTCCATGGCGTTAGAAGTTTGTTGTAACAATGAATTTTTTACACTATTTTTATTTTACCGGACGCACGTGTCCAGGACACAAACAATGTGTCGTATGTCTTCAACCTGCGGTGTCTTCTATCACATTGAGCGTAACGCTGAGTCGTGTGTGTTAGTCGTATGTAATACCGGAAACTTGATGGAAAAATACAAAACTATATTTAAAAATTGTAAGATCGTTTCTTATTTCATGTTTCCTGTGTACTCGCAAAGTATACCTACGGATAACTTCTATTTTTATGTTAAAAAATATATTGATTACTTCTACTCGAAAAATTATTTTGCAACAATAATTTAGTTTCTGACTAATTTTGTTTATTATTTGAATTATTATATAAAAAATAGTTCTTACGCAGGGCAGCTATCTAATATCTAGATTATAAATTCAAATATAATTTGCCTAAAAAATTATTTTGAAAACTAAACTATTAATCTTGTTTATTATCATTGTTCATATCTACATTTGATGTAGATATTTCGTGTGAAAGTTTAAAGGTCTCGGGTCAATTTTATAGATTGAAAGAGCAATTTTTTACGTATTTATTTGTTTATCATGATACTTAAAATTATTCAACTAATTGATGCCACGCATAATTTTATTAATAAAAATTTGCAATATTATTAACTTGAAAAAAGAAGAACCAACAATAAAGAACAAAATTGTTTTTTCATATAGACCTAACCTATATTTACGAAAATTGCCTCTCTAATATTGTTAAAAATTAAAGTTAGCTAAGGATTTCTTAACACCTATCATTAAAAAAAAGAGAACTTTAATTGTGTACCCCCGTTTTTCCGCCCCTAAATATTCCCGCCGGTAGCAATTGACCGTTTACTTAAATAGGCCCGGTGAGAAATATTTTAGGAGGAATTTAATTAAAAACAATTATTTTTTTATTAATATAGTATACTAATTTTAGTATTTTTATTTTCTAGTTGGGAACTTATTTATATTATTATTCATTAACATTGGGTTCGACACCAGCGCCGAACGACATATGGGCATCAGTTGCAGCTCCAGTACCAATGGACAGTGTGTTCATCTATAGGCCAGATAAAAGACAACAGTTATGGAGATTTATGTTATACATGTTCCTTCATGTTGGGTAAGTAACACGCTTCAATTTCTCTGTTAAATATATTATTAAATGTAAAAGACTTTTACGTGCAAAATAAATGTTTAAGAACTTTAAAGACATTAAACTTATTTTTAATCTTAATATTTTAAGTGGCATTTTATGTATATTATTTTACAATTTAATGATTTAAGTAAAATACACCGTTTGAAAGAATTTTTATCAATTCATTAAATAATTGTCATAGTAACAATTTTTTTTTAATTTACTGTTTTTAATATTTCAGATGGGTTCATTTGATATTCAACCTAAGTGTTCAGCTTCTCGTGGGGCTTCCGTTAGAAATGGTACATGGCTCCCTTCGCATAGGCGTTGTTTATATGGCGGGCGTACTTGCAGGTATTATTCATAATTAATCAATTATGAATTAATTCATAATTAAAAACTTGCTCACCATAAATATTCATAGTGAGTCAAGTTGTTACAATAAAAATTATCATGTCGTATTTTCTTTTACCTTGAATAGGATCTTTGGGCACATCTGTATTCGATAGCAATGTGTATCTTGTTGGTGCGTCTGGTGGTGTATACGCTCTTTTAGCCGCTCACTTGGCCAATGTACTGTTGGTAAGTTTTATATATTATTATTATTTATTTTATTGAAAATAAATTACCAATTTTATGATTAGTTAAATTAGTTAAATTTGTGTGGGTAGAATTATAGAACAATGTTAACAAAATTTATCATCTGTTTATTACCTGTTCCCAACTACACGGTATTTACCGTATCTATCAAATTTCTAAGGTATAGTCCATTAAAATTTTTTCAATAAAATTTATCATTTATGTACAAAATCAACATTTTATCTTATTTAATATTGTCAGTGGTAACATTTTGATGTGCATTCGTTCTTACTTGAAATTGTTTTAAACATCCATACATAGCGTTTTGTAACTAGTTTTGTAATGATAAGATATTGTATTAAAGAGCACCATTCGTACTTTGATTTCCATCAATAATTATCAATCATTTTCTTTTAATTCATAAGCTAACTGCATACAATATTTATACTTTTAATTTTATAAATGAAACATTAATTATTTAAGTTATACAATTTATTCTTGCAATCCATTAAGTTTTTAGAGAAGTTCCCTAAATATACGTGTCAAATAAATATTTTACGTAACTAAGAAATTATTTTGTGTCAGTAGTACAGGTTAATGTCTGCCCCTTAAAGTATGTTTAGATATTGTATTAAGGAAATACTTTCATTCAACAAACAATGGTATTTTTACCAATATTAGTATCATACATAATACGCTTTACTCATTTATTAAATGTGCTAATAATATTAACTTTCTCTATTGTGATTTACAGAATTATAATAACATGGAATTTGGAGTTTTTCGATTACTAGGCATTCTTTTTATCGGTAAGTGTCTTATTACTAATAATATAATAACAAGAGGTAACTCTTACTAATATTCATTTTATTTGATCATGCAGCAAGTGTAGATGTGGGTTTCGCTGTATACTGCCGTTACGCTTTTGAACCTTCTTCTAATGCTCCTCCAGTAAGTTACGTGGCTCATATTGCTGGTGCTTTGGCAGGCCTGACCATAGGACTATTGGTTTTGAAGAATTTCGAACAAAAGCTCCACGAACAACTTATATGGTGGTTTGCATTAGGAGTATACGCCATGTGTACTCTTTTCGCAGTTGCCTACAATTTAAGTCATCCTGGTTATTAGCAATAAATAACAGTTATCATACGTTTTTAAAACGATGTTAAAGATGGCTTCGACTTTAATTGTTGCCCGAACTCACTAATAATAATAATTAATAAACGATTATTATTATTAACATTTATTCTTCCATGTGTAAATCTTCATACTGTCCATTTTTTTTTCTGTTTTCTCTAATTTTGTTTAAATTATTATTATTTTATTTATATTATTATGTCTGTGATTTTTTTTCCATGTTTACAATTATTATTATTATTATTATTATTATTATTACTTTCATTTGGATGAATCTCGCGACACATTTTTTTTTTTTTTGGAACTCACATTTTCTTGAATAATATCATAGTTTATTATGAAATATGAACTTCTCTTAAATAATATAAAAAACTTTTATTGAGTTATTATCATTACAATTATTTCCATTACTTAAAATTATTTTAAATAATATTTTGTGCAAAATAAATACTTTTCTTGAGACAATTAGTTGTAGTATAAGCATGTTCAATATTTATAATGTGTAAATATTAAAACAATTTTCAGATCTTACTATTATAATTCAAATGTATTAGAAACTGCCAATATCTATGTTTAACTATGAGCTTTTATTATGTTTTTAAAATTCAAATCTTAGAATTATTTATAAGTTCCAAATAAATAAATAAATAATTGAACTTCTACATAAATAATTGTTAAAACTAATTTTTTTAATAGTTCCTCTTAAAACTTATAAAAAAAACAAGTAGAATTGCTCAACAGTATAAAAATGTGTACATTTATAGTAATTAAATTAATTTAACACTTGCAAACATATTCACGTTATTTATGTTGAAAAATTGAGTTTACATTTTATGTAGTTATTATATAAACATCTATTTTAGAGTAAACCTGTAAATATTAATTAAATAATTTATATATACATTATTAATACAATATTGATACTTGTCATTACGTAAATCTAGTCATCAACTGTAATTTATTTAATTCTATGTCTTATTAATGATAACTTAGTTGTATCTACTGTTTTTTCTCAAATAAAACAATTATATTATATAAATGTCTAATACCCAGATAAATTGTTTATTGAATAGTTACTATTATTATTATTAACCAAAATACAAAAAATAAATAAATACAATATTGTAATAAAGAATGTTTACTTATACATAAAATAAAAACGGCATTTATATATTTTGACATACATGTTTCATTCTTTAATACTACAATGGGGTTTTATACTTCTCCATCCCTTGAACATTACGTGTAATCACACTAAAAAGGCCATGATACACGAAAATTTAGTGTTGTACAAAAATTTAAAAAGCAAATTGCCTGCTCATGGAATTTTTTAGTCAATCGATTTCGGTTTATTTAAGACTTTTTTTTTTTTTTTTTTAGTACGTTACATCATAATTTTGGAAAAAATGGTTATTTACATTTAAATTATGCACCTCATTTTCTACTACCCTTGTTATTTTATATTTTGAACACCTGGTCAGTGTGGATGCTACTGTCAATAGTACAATTTAATTATTTTCTCAAAATACTCAGTCATTCAAACAAAAAAAAATATTTAATGTGCTTAAAATAGTGAATGAGATTTGGTATTGACTGAACTCAAATGTGTATCAAAATTGCATACTCAGAGTGCCGCTTTATTTTAACTAGTTTTAAATTAATAGTAGCACATTTACAGTATTTTTTTATCAGACCCATGTTTCAATTTAGAGATAAAAAAAATACAAAAAATTATTTTAATAACCAATTATACATTTTTTTAAACCATTGGTTCCGTTTGAGTATTTATTAATTTATAAATTATAATAAATTTACACTTTCGTGAATACACAGTGATTGATTTATCAATTACCACTGAATTTCTCTTAAAATAATATTTTTGAGAATTTTTTGTATAGTGTTACTTATTTATTGATATATAATTAGATAAACACTTTTTAGATCTACTCCTTGTTCATTATATGACTAAAAAAATAACTAGTTTATAACAATTTCTGAACCAGTATTTCAGAAGTTATTACCATTTTCAAATATGAATTACAGGCGAGATGCGATTTATATTATTTTTATCATTATACATTTTTCTGCAAGTTACTCCTCTCACTCAGGTAAAAAAAAAAAACTACTGAAATACTGATTAAAAAATCGTAAATGCCATATAAGAAAGGAGGCAGTCACTCAAAACTTTTTAGAGATGAATCTCAATATTAAGGAGTAATAGCCAAGAATATTGTTAACATAATTAAAAATTTCATTCTTAACACGCTTATATTAGTTTCACCTGTATGTATGTATGTTTGTAACTTTTCACTCGGCACGCGTTATCGCATATTCCGTCGTCTATGGCCTTGTGACCAGACTGTCATAACGCATTCACCCCACCCCACGCCTCGCTCACCACAAGACGGCAACACTATTCCTGTATAAATTTATTTTTGGTTATCGTACACGTACACGTGTGCTTGTCATCAATATTATATATATATATATAAACAAATTTTTATTTTGACTGACCAATACCATCCGCGTGCATTACGGCTTACGTATATATTCCTACCGCCGTTTATACCTCAGGTATAACGTTAGTCCGACCCGCCCGCCCACAAAATACGGCTATACCTAGTGCATGATACGTTTACGTACTTAAGCCGCTTTACTTGTATATATATATATATTCTAATTACTATTAAAATTTATATATTAACACGCTTTATTCTAATTAAGAAATATAAGGTATTCATTCCGATTACGAGGGATGATTTCCGTATCGTCATTTTTCGTCACTACCTCCACGTTACGCACCTGCTGCTTTCCTTGGATGTGGTAGCCGTTTCTCTGACTCCCTCTCCGGAATCGAACTCTGATTTCCCGTTATCCGTAACAACCAAGATATTGATAGTAACTACTATCATAACATGAAACTAAAAAGTAAAAAATAAATATAGTTAAAAGCGTGTTTTTTTAGTTTTTTTAACTATATTTATTTTATATAAAGAACAAGAATTTTAATGACTATTCATTAAAATGTTTATATGGACCCATAAAGGTAGCCAAATTAAAAAAGTGGATTAAATAATTTTAATTTATTGATTTATAGTAATTATTTTTTAAAAATCCGTTAAAGTTTTATTTATTCTTGATAATACATATTATTAGCTTCGATGCGAAGCTGAGAAGATATTGTTTTTACTAAGATGTGTTTATTTTTATTTTTTTGTTTTTTATGTCTGTTACCACTTTTTCTCAGCTCTCACCAAACGGATTTCTTTCGATGATACATCAAAAGATCACAAATCGTATCTAGTCAAAGACATTACCCTCAAAAATTTCCCTCGTTCCCCGTAAATGGGGGAAACCTTTAAAAAAATTACAAATTTAAAAATTCGAAATTTTTACTAAAAACTGCTATAACTTTTTCAAAAATGAACATATCAATATAATTTTTTTTTTATAGATGCTTGATGTCTTTACCTACCAATTAGTATATTTTTTCATAAATTTAACTTTTTACCTGCCCACAGGGGGGGATTTAAAATGACACCTTTTTTACAAAAAATTTACTTTTACACTTAATTTTTGAAAATGTTCCGGAAAGTCTGACACTTTTATATATATTTTAAATTAAAGCTATTGTAATGTACATTATTATGGGAAAAAAAAATTTCGGACTTTATTTTGTCTTCATGGTGAAAATGGCTACTGGAATGCTATTTTTGTGTGAAAATTCTCGATCTTATATATTAAATCAATACAATTTTTATGAGAAATAATATTTATATCCCTCTTTTATTCGACATACTTTATCTTTATCAGGATATAAATAAGGAAATATCAGATCATGTAGCTTTTGGAATAATCCACCAATTTTTTAAAACTAAACACTATCTAAAGATTTGCATCGAAGCGTTTTTTATGATAGTGATTTTAATCTCTGTCAGATATCATTATACTTGAACCAACTACGCCACGTCACCACTGTGCTGGGTTTTTTTACTTTCTTTCTGTTAGATTTTTTTTATTAATTATAACTTATTTTTATTCACTCCAATTAATAAGATTACCCTATCAATAACTTTGAAACTATCTAATTCAATTTATAGGACATTTAAAATCAAACTTTTTAATCAGAATAAATTTTACTGAATTAAAAATTATTATAATTAGTTTCTCTTAATCTTAATCAAAATATATAAATTTTAATTTTAGCTTTAGTCATGGAGTGACTCCTTCTGGAAAAAAATGTTCTTATGGTACAATACATTGTTATAACAAATTTTTATTAAGTTGGGCATCTTGGAATTGATCCAAACAAATTTTATAAACTAATATGTCCTGAACCCTGATAATATTATTTTTAGTCATAATTTTTTTAAGATTCAATTGGGGGAGGCATAATGATACATTTGCTCTTAATTAATTGTCCCTATGGTTCCGGCGCCACTTACAACTTCCATTTTCCCTCTGCACGCTTCAAATATAGAATTATCAATAAAAAGATACTTTATGTCCATTAATTAAAGAAAATGTCAAAATATAAGTTCAGTGAATTGGATTGAAATAATTTATTAATAATTTTCAAAGAAAAAAGCCTTGTTTTTATATAATTTAATTGCCGGTAAATTAAGTAATTTTTTATAGCAATAAAAAATACAAAAAATTTATGTTTTGTTCATACTTTATTGATAAACTTCACATAATAATAGAAAATTAATTTTAATATGTTTTTTCTCCATTTAACGACGTTTGCGTCCACCTTTTTGTTTACCCATACGTTTTCCTTTATTAGCAGTAGGTCTTTTAAATGAACTTTTACTTCTACCTCTTCCACCTTTCTTCTTATCATCACTATTTTTTTCTCTAAATCTCCTAAAAAATATGTAGTTAAAACTTCAATACAGAATCTATACATTTTTATGTAACTTACTGTGTTTCTTCTTCATAAATTGCTTTATTAGCAGCCTTTTCTAAATTAAATTTAGGTTTTTTGTTATTAATGGTTTCTAAAATTTGTAAACTATTCTGTTTTTCTTCATTCATGCTCTACAAAAAAATAAAATATACTTAAATATTTTAAATTAACATTAAAATATCTATTGGTAATTTATTTATCTGTTCAATTATTATATAATAGAGTACTGTAATAATGTTAAGTGCTAATTGATTTTATCACCTTAGCTGGAACCTTTTCTTTTTTTAATCCAGGTATACTTTTTTTTTTTGATAAATCTTCTTTTTTCAGTTTTGGTTGAAATTTACCAACTGATGCAGTTGAAATTCTTGCTACATCAACAGCAGTTTTTAGCTATTTATAATTTAAAATAAAATTACAAATTGATCATAAAGAATAATTTATAATAAATTATAAAAAATGGGGCCAGTAAATGATGAATAGTAAAATATATATTTTACTATTTATTTTATTGTTTTAATGTAATATTTTATTTAGTAGAAATTTGAAAAGGTCTACAGCCAATTTTATAATTAAGAGTGAATACTTAATGTATTTAAACAATAAAAATGGAATATTTTATTCCAAAATATGATAATTTTTTGAAACAAAAGTCATTAATAAAAAAATTAAATGAAATTGGTATTTAAGTTGTTCTCGTTGTTTGTAAAAATTTATCAATTGCTTTATTATAAGATAACTTGTATTATTTTTATGTACTTAAAATATGTTATTAGGGATTAAAATCTTTTTAAAATCAAATATAAAATATTTAAAGCTTATGCAGGCAAATAATTCCTTTACTTATTAATGATTAACAATTAAAATGCATGTTGTAGTCTTTTAGCATTAATTTCAATTATGGCTTAAAATGCAAGAGGATTTAGCCCTACCTTTAACAATGGTTTACAAGCACTCCTTAAGAATAAATTCAAAAATTATTAAAAATGTAGACATAAATGCATTTTATTACCCAATCTAGTTATTTCAAAAAGTTTTGTTGCAAAGCATAATTTAAAAAATAGCCTTGAAAGTTTTTACTTGCTCATATATTTTAAACAGTGTTTTTTTGAAATAGTAATGTGTAATGAAATTACAATGAAATTTTCAAATTTAATTCAACAATATTTTTTAAATTTAATTGTGGTTATTATTGTAACAGAGTGCAGTGTTAGAGCTAGTTTGTGTTCAGATTGTAATTGTTTTGTATATGATTAATTTGTGTCGCATTAAATATTTATAATTCTAAACTTTTATGTTATTTTTTTTTTAATACATTTTTTAGATTTGAACTATATTAAAAGCATATTTATTATTATTTAACTCTAATTAGAAAAAATTTAATTTAATTTTTAAATGGTCAATTTTTTTACAAAAATTTATTCTTGGATATTTTGAAATTAAATAATAAAACAAATGATCAGTAATACACAATATAAAGAAACATATTTCTTTACAAAATGGCAGTCCATGTAATTTCTAATCATTTTGTGTATGCTCAACAATTTTATAGGGTTAAAGTCCTTTCTCTTATTTGTACTATCAATTTAATAATATCCAAGTTAATCGCAAGTTCTTAATGGAGTAAACTTGAAATAAAATTAATTATTTTGAAATTTGTTTTAAATTATATATTTACCTGATTTGAATGTAAAGTTCCTTCAAGAGGTGGTAGTCCAACTGCAGGAACTTTGATTTTACGTGATGCTGCAATATTTCGCAGTCTTTGATACTCATTTTTAGCAACTCTTTCTTTTTTGGCTTCTCTTTTTTGAGCAAATAAGTCAATATTAGGATCAGGAGCATTTCCAGGCACTTCTAAAATCCAATCTTTTTCTTTTTCTGCAGCTGCTTTTTTATAACCATAGGTAGGTACCCATTTCTAAAAAATGTTTTACAACAATTAGTTAAATTAACAAGTTACAACAAATATTCAAAAAAATAACAAAAATAATAATAATACATAATCCAAAGTGATATATATATATATTTATTTTTTGTTAATTTTTTTAAATAGAACAAATAAAAACCTGCAGAATATCATCCCAAGTCTTCTTTGGTTTAGGTGTTTTTTTTATTCCTTTTTCAATAGCAAACTTCTGCCATTTAGTTAGTGGTTTAGGTGCTGGCAATGGTTTTTCTCTAGGTAAATTATATCTAGGTTCTGGTAAGTCAACATACATATAACCATCTTCAGTTTTCATAGGCAATTCAAAAAGTTTATTGATTAATAATTGAACATTATTGCGAGTTTCATAAGTTAAATATGACTCTTGATCAGAACTATTAAAAATTATAGCATTGAAAAATATAATTAAAAAATGTTGACATAAATACTATAATTACCGCAGTTGTTTTGTGTCAAAATCATTCGAGTCAAAACACAGTAATGTACCCAAATCAATTTCTGGTTCTAATACTTTTGTAACAGTTACACTGTTTAACGACGCTTCATCTTTTGCTGCTTTTTGATTTAATAATTCAGTAATATTTTCCATTATAATTGATTTTTTGCTTTTGTCTTAAATTAAAAATTATTACAAATTTATGCATCAAGTTAAATTGTAGATTGAGATAAGTTACCTACCAGTAGAAATAGAAACAATTGCACGTTTTTGTTTAGTTTGTCACCAAAATACTTTTAGGTTAGATTTTGTTATCATTAATCAGATATACCGCCTATATTGTCAATAATATTTCAATTGAAATATTATATGAACTTATTTTACAGGAATTAATATTCTTATTATAATTTCAATATTAAAAATATACTACACAAACTCATTACATAGTATTATTTAATAAAATGAGTACATCATCACTTATATAAAGCCCGTATTTTATGGTTGGGTTATTTATTATTCTTTACCAATAATTACCCAGAGTAAACATAATATTTCACCTTTCTTGAAGACTTCTTCATCACTTCAAATTAATTAATAAGAAAAAATTTATTTTTCAAACTCTTCTTCTTCCTCGCCTTAATCCCAACTATTTGGGGTCGGACACCCTTATCCTAAACTTCCAATTGACACGATCTCCCTCATCATCTACGCTCACATAAGCTGTCCTCATATTGCATTCAATAACATCTCTCCATCTCTTTTTGGTTTTCCTCTACCTCTTCTTCTTCAACATTCACTTCTATAACTGTTCTTACAGCTTCCGATTGTTCTCTCCTCATAACATGACCAAACCATATAAGTCTACTTTCTCTCATCTTATCCACGATTGACGCTACACTTATACTCCCTCTTATATGCTCGTTCCTTATTCTATCTTTTTTAGTCACTCCACTCATCCATCTAAGCATTCTCATCTCTGCTACACTCATTTTCTGTTCTACTTTCTTATTAACTGCCCTACACTCTGAACCATACATCTTAGCTGGTCTTACTACAGTCTTTTAGAATTTACCTTTCAGCCTAATTGGAATTCTTTTATCGCATAAGACGCCAGACGCTTCTCTCCACTTCAATTACTTGCACTTACTTAATCCTGTGTCTTACATCCTCGTCAATACCACCGCTCTTTTGCACAACTGATCCTAAATACTTAAAACTTTCCACCTCTCCAATCACGTCCTCGCCTATTGTTAATGGTCTCCTTATTTCACCTACATCGTGTTCTCCTTTATCAAACTCGTACTCTATATACTCTGTCTTACTCCTACTTATTCTTAAACTCTTTTCTTCAAAAGCTGATCTCCACACCTCTAGCCTTTTATTAATTTCCCCCCTATTTTCTCCTATTAACACAATATCGTCAGCAAACATGCACCACGGCACCTTTCCTTGTATTTCTCTAGTAATTTCATCCATCACTACATAAAATAAGTAAGGGCTTAAAGCAGAACCTTGATGCACTCCAACTCTTACCCGAAAATCTTCTGTTACTACTCCCACACAATTTACCCTGGTACAAGTGCCATCATACATATCTTCTATTATATTAATGTACCTTTTCGGGACTTCTTTTCTCATTAATACCTACTTTAAAACCTCTCTCGGACTCTATCATATGCTTTCTCCAAATCTATAAATACCATACAAAGCTTCTCCTTTTTTTCCCTAAACTTTTCTATTAGTTGCCTTACACAAAATAATGGCCCCATTGTTGACTTACTAGGCATAAATCCAAACTGGTTTTTAGATATCGATGTCTTATTTCTTATTTTATTATCTATTACCTTTTCCCAAATTTTCATACTACGACTCATAAGCTTTATGCCTCTATAATTTCCACACTCCTGTATGTCACCTTTACCTTTAAATATCGGCACCACAATACTATTCCTCCATTCATTTGGAATTTTCTCTTCTAATAAGATTTTATTTAAAAGTTCCTTCAACCACCTTATGCCAACACCACTTAATATTTTCCATACTTCTACCAGCACTTCATCTAGTCCCACTGCTTTATTCTTTTTCATTGATGCCACAGCCTCCGATACTTACTTCGTTACTTATTGTACACTTGGCTTCTTTGCACAAGCGTTTATACTCCATCCAATCTTCTCTCCTTTTGCTCTTCAGCCATACTATGAATTGCTTTTTCTTACTTTTTATGATTTTTTGAACGTCCTCATCCCACCACCAGGTTTCCTTATTTCTTGGCATTCTACTCCTATTCTCACCAACAATCTCCTTTGCAATATTCTTAACACAACTAGCAAATCTATTCTACACATCATTTATGTCTCCTTCGACATTACATACTGTCCTCTCTTTTACCGTCTTGACAAACTCTTATTCATTTTCCTCTTTCAATTTCCACCAACGGATTTTCTATTTTTTTCCCCGTGTTCTTTCTGTTTTTTTATTCAATATTTCTGTTTTTTTCTTTTTTTTTCAAACTGTTTTCTTTAAAAATTGTACGTGGCGAAATTATGCTCTTTAAGTACAATCCTGAGAAGGATGAAATACTTTTATTTGAAAAAAAATTTGTCATTAGGAATATTAAACAATTACAAATAAAATAAAAATTAAACTATAAATTTATGTTTAAAAGTAATCAATTTTCAATTATAAAATTAATTTATGCAATTTATTGATAATTTATTACTTTGTAAAAACAGCTTTCTATGATTTAAATAAAGATTTATTATGAACAGAACACATACAAATATAGTATATATTAATCAACTAGAAAGTGATATTTGACAAATTGAATCGGACAAGAAATCAACTAAACTTTTTGCATAATGCTTATGTGAAAAGACTTTCACATTTATTTGTTTGAGAAGGACATCAGGTTGCATCCAAGACAGATCTTTTAATGCATCTGAAATCCAAAAACCTATAATTAGTTTTAAAGTACTTATTAAAATTAATATTATTTTACCAAATATTGACTGTTGCACATCCTCATCATCTAAAAATATAATCATTGTTTTATAAAGTTGTTCAATATGGCCTCCATAGTGCAATATATAGTCAGGTGGAAGAGGATTGGTATAAATAGCCTTGAGTAAAGAAATAGCTTTGAAACGAGTAATACCTGGATTATCGTTTAAACGTGTTAAAGTAACTAACACAAAAAAACATTCTTATTACAAATACATTAAATCTAATTTAAATGTAAATGTTTTATTTACCTCTAGTTATATTATTAATTGTGTCAGCATCCATTATATTCATTTCTTTAGCAAAAATAGTCAAAACATGTAAAGAGTCTAATGAATAAGCTCGAGTTTTACTATGATTATCATCAGCAAGTGCCAAAAAAACTGGAAAACTCTATGAAAATAATTTTCATAAAATCAAAGATAATTTTCAAATATTAGTCATTTAATTACCAGCTTAAAAATGTCATCATTAAAGGAAGTTAATTTTGAAACTATCTTTTGAGCACTTAAGCTTGCAGCAGCACGCAAAGTTTCAGCGCACCTTCCAGGTCTCCAAGTAAGAATAGGAAATATAACACCTTTAATTTTTTTATATATAATAATATCTACAGTCAAGAAGATAATCTATATTTAAAATAATTTAACTTCAAATAAAAATTAATTAATTGTAAGATAAATTTATTACAATAGTGAAAAAGTAATGTAATTAAAATATTGAACTGTTAAGATAAAAAAAAATAATTTAAAATTAAGTAGAAAAGAGAGATAAGATTTGGTTCCTACTTTTAAAATAAAAAATATATCATTTAATATAAATAAATAAAATACCAGACAATATTTGCCAAAGTTGTCTATTATCAAATACATTTTTATCCACACAAGTACTGATGTTAATTATCATTTTCATAATAAACTGAGAGTCCTTTTCTAAATTTTGAAGAGTTACAGCAAGAATTTTTCTATATATTTCATAATGACTTTTTATAATGTACTCTAAAAAATATCACATATTTAATGTTTTATTTCTTTATTTAAGGACAAATTTTAATACCAGCATCAGTAACAATTTTATCAAGAACACCTCGTCCAGATGAATGGACAGTCCATTCATCACAGTTATTACTTAACTCATTCAGTAACTTTTCTCCAAATGATTTAAAAAGTTGTTCCTTAGTTTTTGGACTACAAAAATTTACAAGTTCTTTAAATATACCTAGAGGAAAGAAATGAGTTAAAATATTTTTTCAATTAATATAATTAATACATACAATGATTTTCAAAATCATCTAAAGCTGATGCTTGAGTTGTAATGTAAATTTTGAATAACTCATAAGCATATTTTTTGCATTCTTCATTGCAAATATTTATTATATACTCGATCACTTGCAATAAATATTTTTTAAATAATGGATCATGGTTTTCACATATTTCTGGTAAAACTAAAAACTTAACCAGAGGTTCTACATGTTTAGATAGTTGTTCAGGTAAATTATGTCTAATTAATCCTGCTAAAACTATCATGTGTCCAGTATGTGAATTATCATTCATTAGTGGCAATAAAAATTTTAAAAAAACATCTGGCGATACAAAATAACTAATAATTTCAGCTGCTTTTCTAATCTAAAATATATATTATAATTATAAATAGTAGTAATAATTCAATTAACAATTGAATTTAAAGCATACATGATGTGATGCTACATGTTGAACCTCACGACAGCACTTTACCATTGCTGTTAAAAGTTGATTCAAATGTTGTATAATGGACCCCTCAGCATTTAAAGCTACCACGCAAAGAAGCTGACCTGATTTGATGCAAACATCTTCTTTCTGAAAATGTACACTTTAAAATTTAATTATTTTAAAATATAAAATATATGATACCCAATCATCCAATTCACGGATTATAACTGGTAATAATTTCAGTACTTCTCGAGCTACTAATATGCGACAACCCAAATTTGGTCTTTCAACTAAAATATAATGTCACTATTTAAATTTGTTACAATCATTCACAATTCAATTTATATATATTTGTCATTACTTTAAAATATCATCATTCTTATATTTTTATCAATTAATGATAAAATTTTTGTTAGATGAAAGTTCATCTTAAAATTTTAATATTAATTTTTGTTTCAATAATAATACAATTACAATAATAAAAATCTTTATTTTAAGGAAACTAATTTTTATTACAATTAAATATATATTTGTAAATTAAAATAACTAACCATTTGGAGGATAATGATCTATTATAACTGGTAAAAAATCTATTTTTTCTTTAAGTTTTTCTTCATTTTCATTTAAATATTGTATGCCAATTTCTTTCCAGAACTTTTCAGCTTCATCCCGATTTGGTTTATGATCATCAACTTGTCTAAAATTTAAATAAATTATGTAAATACCCAAGCCCAACAATAATTTAACGTAAACTTACGCAGACAATATCAAAGGAACAAGTTTTGGGAAATATGAATATCTGTCAGGTAATAATAACATCCAGTTTGATACAACATGACAAAGAGTTAGCCGTACTGTAGTATTTTGATCAAAGAGTCTCTCACTAAGAGCATTACAAACTTCAGGGACCTGTTTTCCATTACTGTGCATAATAATATAATCTACATAATACAAATATTACTTAGAATAATTGGACCAAACAAATGGTAAGTCATAAATAAAATAAAACTAATACTTAATGATTCAATAGCTGTTATCCTTATAGTTGATTGGTGATATTTAGTAGCTTTTATCATAGGTTCAATCAAAGTTTCTGCAACCATATGAAATTTTTCCTTAGTTGTATAAGCAAATTCAGCACTACATAAACAGCTCTCCTTTTTAACAGAAGGACATGAATCTAATATTCCTCTTTTTAGGATTCCAGCTACTTCATCTAGATATGATTCCATTACTACTTCATTATGTTTTATTATATCTCTAAGTAACTGTACATATAAAAGTTTTAATTCTTCAGAATTTTCTATAACTGATATGCCAGCCATACGTTTATGAATAATGTGTATTATTGTTGAAATATCAATACAACATCCATTACAAACTAAATTTTTCATCAATTGTACAGCAGTTTCACGGCATGTTTCGGAGTCATCGTTTAGACAAGGGTTAATATAAACGTTTACATTAGTTAAAAAAGTTGGGCATTGTAAATTTATTTGGTCAGCAAGAACGAGTTCCTGAATTTTTTCGAGATTTTGTTTTCTGACTTTCCTGTTCTCGCTTTGAAGTAGTTTAAAGCACTTGTTATATATATCACCACTACCATCATCCATTTTGCTTAGAATTTTTAATTAGATATCGTAGTAATTTAAGAAAATCTTTATTTGTGAAAAAATAGAAAGGAATGACTAGTAAATTCGATCAAACATTAAAATACACAGAGGACTCTTGGTGTTTTTGTCACATGTTGATTTAATGAGTGTTCATAGCAACGTTATCGATGTAATCAGTTATTGCTACTATCACAGAAAAAATAAAAATTTATCTTATCTATGTTGTTATCAATCTACAATGTTACCAAAATCAAAATCAGTTCAACAAATTATGTCCAAACAATACATCACCATATGTTTCATTAATCAAAATACTGAAACACTGGTGATACTCAATATAAACTAAATAAAAACCCGCTTTACAACTCGACGGCTTCATTATCACTAGACCATGCTTTTCGAACGAAGCTTATGTAACAATTATTACGATTTTAATAATTTAATTAAAACCGACATTTAATCTAAATTAGTTTTTAGATTAATTGGTTTACTACTAGTATTAATATTTTTTATTTTTACGCACTTTGCATACTTTTTTTTTATTAATTTCATTCAGTGATTCAAAGTTGTTTCATTATTTAAGAACGTAGTTAACTAGTTTCCTCGTGGAAAATGTGCTATAAATTTGCGTAAATCATGTTTAAATCATTAATTTTGCTTAAAAAAATCGTCAATATATTTAATCCGCTCGTTCGACTTAACTACAGTACGACGAGAAGAAATTTAATTCTGAACGAAGATTTGATTAAACGTTTAGAAACTGTATCATTAGTTGGTTTCACAGAGCGTAGCGGATTTGAAGTTTTATGTGCATCAGTTAAATTTGCTGATAGCATAACGCATATTGACACTAAAGAAGTAGATCCATTGATCACCGTATTAGAAAACTGGTATGTATTAAAAAAATTCTATTTCTAATTGGTGTTGATTAATTTGTTATAATAATAAATTATCCAACACATTTATTCCAAATGTCCTAAGTATAGTTGGGCACTTGGTAACATTGTGAATGCCATACTAAATTTTCCTACTTATGGAACATCAAATCAAGAAATATTAATAATTTTTCAACCTTAGGCATAAATGGGTTAAAATATTTAATATGGATTTTAAATGTTTCGTGTTTTAATATTTTTATAACAAATAATTTTTTTGTTTATGGTGAATTGTGTATGTGATAGAAATTTATTCATTTTGTTTTATAAATAATTTATTCTTAATACTAAAAAAATGTATTATTTATTAGTTTAGTTAATTTTTATACATATGTTTATTACACTTAAAAAAAAGGGGAGTGAGATAAATTTAAAATGCCCATCTGTTAAATTGACAAGAGGATAAAATATAGATTTTTATAAATTAATATTTACGTAAATAACAGTTTGTAATTATATGTTAATTAATAAATAATTATATTAACGTAATTTCACCCCTTGTATCCTCAAATAATAACATGGATACTAGTTACAATCTTAAATTTATATATAGGCATAATTTCAGAAAAATTATTAGAGTAGATTTTCTAATATATTGCTCCCTAAAAAAAAATGTATGTAAAAATGTGAATACTTTTCAAAAATGCATACCCCCTCAGTACTCTTTATTTAACAGTTATTTATTAGTTTTAATTTAACTAATTTATATTATCCTGTCCTCTTTAGTCCAATTTGTTTTCAGCGAATCATTATGTCTCAGGTAATGATTTAGGTATTTAAGGTAGAAATTAATTTTTAATAATCTATTTATTAATTAAAACGTTTAGAATTGATATTTATAAATTATAGTAAATGAGGTTATCCTAATTTTTTTAATTATATACTCTTAGACAATTATATTGAAAATATTATTTTTTCTGAAATTTAAAATATAAATATTGATTTTAAAGTAATTGTAACAAAGTTGTTTAATTATATTTTAATATTCAAAGTAATCTTCATTGGAAATAATGTATTAGAAATTAAACTTTAATATTCAAAGTATTTGAATCTTTGGAGCGAAATGATAAATGTAGGAACCCCCTGATAACAACTTATAGATATATTTGTAAAACAACTATTATATTTTCGTTAAATTTTAATCATATCATTTGTTTAGTAAAATAAAAGGTTTTGCTCCCTAACCTTTTACTACTTTTAAGTTATTTTTAACTTTTCAATATTTGAACAAATTATTTATAATTTTGTCTGTTAGTTCAATTATAATTTCTTTGTTTTTAACAATCTTTTTGTTATTATAAATAATTGTAACGTGTCATATTATTTTATACAATGTGTATTACATAGATAAATTATATAAATTTATACATATTTTTTTATATAGATGAAGATCAGGTCTTTTTACTATAAGAAAATTTTTTGTTATTCAGATTCTGGACCTAAATTAAAATGGGGAAAATATCAGCAGAAGCATCAACCCCAAATAAAATTAAAAAAAAACAAGAACAAACCAAAAAAGGAAAAAAAAAACAACCATGTAAAAAAGTAAAATGTAATCTTAAGAAAACAAAAAATATCCAAACACCTGATAGATCTGTACTAGAACTCATGACACAGCATCCTGATTTAAAACAAACTTTTGAATATATGTTGTATTCTAATAAGTATAAACATACTTTGACTGATGTTTTTAATATAATTAAAATGTTGATGACCAAATTAGAAGAATTACAAAGTCATAATATAGATATTCAAAACGTTTTTGATACGGTTAACTTTAATTACAAAATCAGAGGGTTAGTTCAGAGCACTGCCATTAATCTTTCTCATGTTTTAGAGCAGCTAAATATAAATGAAACTAATTTTTTAAATTTTGCTCGTTCTTGTAATTCAATTTGTAACATTGATAATAATAAAAATATGGAGAAAAGCACAGAAAACAAAATGTATGAGCAAAAAAATTTACCATCCACTTTTCAAATATCTAATGCTATTAGAGTTAAATCTCATGATGAATTAAATAATGATCTTTCATTAATTGAAGAAATTAAAAATGAAAATATTTATACTAATACAATGAAAAAAATAAGTATTATTGGTTCTAAAGAAACTGTAGTATTATCTTCAGATGATGAATTAGAAGAATCCAAATATTACAATAAATGTTTAAAAAGAAATGTGTGGGAAGAACCAAAAAAAAGTGATGCTGATGATTTAGAAAGTTATGCTATTGGTTCGGATTTTACTGATATTTTATCTGATAATGATAGCTTTGAAACTGCAATAAATACAAAAGAAAAAAGAAAAAAATATTTTACTGTGTCTCCACAGAATAATAGTTCTCTGACACAAAAATCTAAAAAAGTGAGACAAAAGATTCCAGAAGAAGTTATAAATGAGGCTAGAAAATTAGATATTCGTCAGAAAAAGCGTTTAAAAGCTCAAAATACATTAGTTATGAATATTGTTAACAAAATTAAACTACGACCACATGATGTAGTATTAGAGTTTGATGTAGTTAATCAAATACCATCAATATGTGTTAATAAAGAGTTAAGTAAAGTATTAAAGCCACATCAAGTAGAAGGAATAAGATTTTTATGGGATACAGTTTTTGAATCAATTGAAAAAAGTAATTCTACTGATGGAACAGGTTGTATTCTAGCTCATCGTATGGGAATTGGTAAAACGTTGCAAGTAATTGCTTTGATGTATACAATACTTAGTGAACCAAAATTGAATATAAAAACATTTTTGATTATTTGTCCACCAGGACTAATATATAACTGGATTGATGAAATTTATAAGTGGTTAAAAGATATTGATAAAAGTGAAGTATTTAAAGTTTATGATTTGCCTAAAACTAATAAATTATACAACATAACAAATATAGCTACATGGAAATCAAAAGGAGGCGCCCTAGTATTGAGTTATGAAAATTTTAAGTCTTTAGTTAACTGTAATCAAAGAGATTTACGAGAAGCATTTTCTCATACTTTAATTAATCCTGGACCTGATGTTGTTATTTTAGATGAAGGGCACTATATAAAAAATACTCATACAATATTATTAAAAACATTGTCACAAATAAGAACAAAAAGAAGAATAGTGTTAACTGGAACACCTATGCAAAATTCTTTAAAAGAATATTATACTTTGGTTGATTTTGTAAAACCAAACATACTTGGAAACTTCGGTGATTTTGCCTTAACTTTTATTAAGCCCATTGATTCTGGGCAATTTATAGATTCCAGTGATGACGCTGTTAAATTGATGAAAGAAAGGACTTTTATACTACATAGACTTTTGCAAAATACAGTACATCGTATTGACGATAAAAGTTTAACAAGTCTATTCACAGAAAAAGTTGAATACACTGTGGAAATCAATATGTCAGAGTTTCAACGTGAATTGTATGAAAAATTTTTACATTATGATCAAAATTTTAATGATAGAACTAATGTATTTTGGCGTTTACATGTATTAACTTTGATAACATTGCACCCTCTAACTTTATATAGACTTATACGCCTAGAAAATTATAGACAATCATCAGATCAAGGAGTAACTGTGTTAGGTGAGAAGTTAAGAAAAGCCTTACAATGGATTAATGACTATAAAGATGATTCAAGATTTTTCGAAGCTAAGCAAAGTAATAAAATAACTTATGTTTTGGCAATGATAGAGGAATGTGAAAAGAGAAATGAAAAAATGTTATGCTTTTTGAAATCTCCACTAGCTATGGATGCTTTGGAATATTTTCTGCAAAAGGAGAAAAATTGGATATTAGGAGAGAAATATTTTCGAATGGATGGTAAAACCCCTGTAACTATAAGAAATCAAATGTGTGAAGCTTTTAATAATTCAGAAAATTCTTCCAGAGTTTTTATTTTGTCTATGGGTACTGGAGGACTTGGATTTAATATGGTAGGAGCTAATCGTGTGTTACTGCTCAATGCCTCTTGGAATCCAAGTGTTGATATTCAAGCCATCTATAGATGTTTGCGTTTTGGACAATCTAAAACAGTTTATGTAAATAGAATATTAGCAAAAGGAACTGTTGAGCCTAAAGCTTACTATCGACAAATTTCTAAACTTGGAATTAGTAGTAGTGTTGTTGACATGCAACATGTTTACAGACAGATTTCTTCTAATCAAATTAATGATTTATTTGTTTTTGACTCGTTTCATTTTAAGGTTCATTATTCTCTAGTACCAAATACCAAAGACCCTGTTTTAAATCAGTTAATTAGAAATAATTTAGACTGTATATATAATGTTCAGGAACATGATTCATTACTTGTAGAATCTGTAGAAAATCATTTAACTAGTGAAGAAAAGAAAGCTATTTGGTTGGCATTTAAAAATAATGAGTTATGTTCAAAAAATAAATTTCCACTTAATCTTCAAGATGTTGAACAGCCTAAAATGTTATCAACATTAATAATGGATAGTGGAATACCAGAGCCTAATGATACATCAAGACATAGTATTTCACAAAATGTAACTAACCAAAAAAATCTTCGTAATTATTTCAATAATAAAAATACTTTATCTCATTCTCATAATTCTTATGATAATCAAAATGTACCAAGTGAAATCCAAGACAATTTTACATCACAGAGCAATGCTAATCAAAATAGTCATCAAAAAATTTTTAATAATAAAAATTGTTTGTCTCATATTTCATATAATAGTGAAAGTAGTGCATCTACTAAAACTCAAAATAAGCTAAAATGTAGCAAATTAAATACAATGCGAGAAACAAATTATTCAAAAAAAAACTTTTCTGTTGTGGATGAACCTATACAAAATCAGTTTAGACATTTTCAAAATAAAACTTTTAATAATCACAAAAGATTTCCAAGATTTGATAAAAGGCAAACACCATATTCAAAAGCACAAACTAGAAACATATCTAAAACCCAAAATATAATTAATTCTTCCCATGTAGAATTTAACCAGTATTTAGAAGCAAATACAGAATCAACGAACAGACATAACTATAAACAAAATTCTGAGGAACATTACTCATCAGATATGTTAAATCAAAATGAATCATTGGAACAGAATAACTATTACCATAGACGTGGAAATCAATATTCAAGGTATCACCATTATCCTCAGTTCAAAAATAATATTTGCAATCGCTCTGGTAATTCAAGATAAATAAGACTGAATGAATGTATTATATTTTACTGTTTTATATTTTATAATCTATTTTTAAATTATTTACTTAATTTTTAAGTATCATGTATATAGTTTTATGGAGTACAATTATTTCTGTTAGTATATATTGTTTAACATTATTGCATAATAACTGTTAATTTTATGTATAAAGGTTAAATTATGTATTTATGTATAGTTGTTATTTTATTAATATAAAATCTACTATATTTTATTATTTTATCATAATTTATTAATTTGTTGGATTGTCAATATCCACTAATTTAGATTCTTATCTTATTTTCAAATAATTATCTTTATTCAAAATAGTTAAAATATTCGATCAATGTATGTATTTTACTGATTTAGTTCAGATGTTTTTTATTAATTTTTTACTTCACTAATAGGTTCAGTATGAAAAATTGTTTAATATTATTTTTATTATATTTTTAGTATAAATTTATGATTGATGACAAATAGTATTAAACTTTTAGTTAAAGTATTAATTTCTCAGGGATTTTTAATTTGCAATACTTATTGTGAATACTTAATCTAGTTGTATTTAAATATGAATGATACTATCGAAAATTAATAAATACTAGTTATAATAGTAAAAAAATATTTATTTTAATTGGAAGTTTTGCTTTTAATAATTATAAATAATTCATTTAAGAATTTTATTAGATCCAAGTAATACTATTTTATCTCATATTATTTATTTTAATTGATTCATAAATATTTTCATAAAATATCTCCACTCTAAATATGATATTATTTAAAGTACATAATAAATTCATTTTTTTCTTATAGCATTTTATTTATTAGGGATGATTAAATAGATCTTAGGAAGTATCAAAATATATTTTTTATTAGTAGTTCCAATTTCTTGATAAATTTGTCTACAATTTTACAGGAATACGCCATTAAGGGAAGATTTAGCAACAGATAAAACAACTAGAAAAAATATTTTAGGTAATGCGTCTGTTGTAGAAGAAGATTACTTTGTTGCACCCAACAATCGTACAAGTCTTGATCAAGATTAAAATTTTTATTCATCCTTTGTTAAACTATATGTAAATCATATTTTATTTATAATACAATTTTGAACTATTATATTATACTTTATCATTAATACATACATAAAATTTGCAAAAATAGCATTATAAAATGAGTTTAATGAAGAAAGTTTTATCTATGTGTGAAACATATGCTTTTTTAAGACCAGTTATAACAAATAATTATGTTGAGTATTTAAAGTATGGTCCTTCTGGTGAGCTTCTCTGTCAGAATATAAGAAATGAATGGCTTTACAGTAATGTTACCAGTAGAGAAGAATCTGTATTTCAAACAAGTTATGGTATGCACAAAAACCAATTTGATGATATTATAAGTAAGAAACTTAATAAATTGTCAAATTACAATATCAATACTTTTAAAAAATATTAAAATTATTAATTTTATAAAGGTCTCAAAGATTCATATGAAAATGCAAAATTGTTTTGTAACAATCATTTACCCTTTAGTATAACTGATTCTAGAAGTCAATGTGAGCAAAATACATTAATAGTAAATCGAAACAATGAAGAAAGTTCACTTTTTAAGTAATGTAATTTTTTGTTTTTGTTAATTATTGTCATGTAATTAGAACAGTTTAGAAAAATGTTTATAAGAATAAAGTTAAGATTAAATATTTATTTATTCAATTAGTTAAATATATTTTTTTTTATTATAGCCCCAAACAATATACAAGGCTTAAATACATAGCATTTTGCATTCCAGAAGAAGGACAACAGTTTTTTTATCATTGGCAACGTCAACGAAAAATTTGGTGGAGAAAGGTAAAAAATAAAACAAATTTAGTTTTATGAAAAAAGAATTTTTTTCATTAGTTTTCAGCAAATCCAGGAAAGTTTTCCTTAACTGAAATATTGACTGATGAAAGTGGACAAGAATACACAGAAATTAAAGTTGAATTTGATTGGGGTCAAGAAACTATAGAAACTATACGTAATATTGGCACAAAGCTGTTAGATAAACTGGATCCAACTAATCAAGAGTTATTTTTAGTATGTAAACTTTTTAAAAACTGATATAAAGTAAGTTAAATTTTAGTAAATATAATTGATTGGGTAAAAAAATTAATAAAATTGGTAGGTACAATATTATTGTATTACTTTTTGTTAGTAGTGATCTTTTTATTACTAAATTATGGAGAGTAAAACAAAAGTGGTGTAAATCAAATTTAACAGCTTTTTAGGGGAATTTTTGAAATACTTTAATTCTATATGAACTAATATAAATGCAAATAAAAAAAATTCAATAATACTCTTCATAGCATAATTTTATTTATAACTTTGATAAAAATATTTACAATAAATAAATAATATTAATAATAATATAATAATATTAATAATAAAATAAATAAAAAATATTTATTTTCAAATCAAACTCATTTCACTCAAAAATTGATTTATACCAGTTTTGTTTTAACCTCTAAAATTTTATTTTTTTATAAAATCAGTTTTCATTTATTAATTTTTATTTTTTATAAAAAAAATTAGGCTAAAGTTGGTAAAAAAAAACTGTTGCCTCATATTATAGAAAGTGAAACAAGTTTGGAAAAAGCATCTTTGGTGTTATTATGTGATGGTTATGCTGATTTACCATACCATAATGAAAGAAGAGAAACATTTCGTTTTCATAGAAAAATAGCACCATACAAAATTACATTTGCCTCACCTTTATCAAGTAATATATGACATTTTAAATTTCTAAAGGTATTTTATTTATATAATTAATAATGATTAATTAGATGCTAAAAAAGCTGATGAGTTAAGACAATTATCAGTATATTTAGGATTAGGATTAAAAAAAGCTGGTGTTTCAACATTGTTGTCACCAAATATAGCTAAAAAAACCCTCGATTCTCAATTCATTGATGCCGATTGTCTTGGAATACCTTACACAGCTGTGTTAACTGAATCTACATTGGATAATGGAATTATAGGTTTAAGAAGTATAGAAACGACTCTAGAGGTATGAAATTTGTATTCAAAAGTATTTATCATTTTTTGAATAATACTAACATATTTTTATCTATGAAATGTTTAAACTTTTATCTATATATTTTTATAATTCACCCAATATTCAGAATATTTTTATAAATTAGGCGATGTATTTTAAGTATATTTTAAATTATTTTTACTTATATTTGTTATTAAACTGTGTATTATATTTAAAAAAAATACATTTTTAACAAAACTTATTAAAAAGTTTATTTATTATGTAAATAAATATATAATAATGATTATGTATTATTATAACTTAATATTTTCTTTTTGTTTTAGGAAAAAATCCATGTAGCAAATTTAACTTCATATGTTGAACTTCTTGTAAAAAATTATTAGTTAATATTTATGTAAATAATAACAAAGATATTAATTATAAAGAAAACTTTATTTTGTATGTTAAATTTCTGCTTTAATTATTAATAAATGTACTTATGTTTATGTACTTAATAAAATATAATAGATCTAATTTATTGTGAAATTTTTTTACATGTTTAGTTACTGTAGTAAATTTTTAAAAACATTTCTCACAGGTTTAATATCCCTTGCCCCCATCATGACTATTCTTCAGTCCTCCAAAAACTTGGTATTTGATTATTGTAGACATGATATAAATCTTAATTTTCTTTCCTTTCTTTTGCGTGGTAATATTGATTCTCCTGAATGCTTTCCTGTGTATATTTTAAAATATCTTTACAAAGTTCTATACATTCTTCTGTGCATTTCATTATTCCGCATTACTCTTGTAGGGATTAACAAAGATGTTAAATAACATGTCACAATGAATGCGTTTATATATGTTTATATGTTTTATCTTAGATGTACTGCAGTACGATAACACTCCGTGTATTTTTTTTATTCTCGCGCTGTTCGTCAATCCAGTGACACTTTTTATTTGTACTCTTTTTTTATGTACGTATAAAATTATTTTTCATTATTAAAAAGTATTAATTATTATAAATTTTAATTGTAGTATTTTGTAATAAATATAAACACCAAAACACTACAAACTATTTCTCTTCTTTCTAATTCTCCCATGATTCACCTTATGCATACTACAAATGCAGATTCATCGTTTAGTTTTTAGAATTACTTATTAAGCTGCTCCATACATTTTCTTGCTGTACAAATTTTCTATTATTTAAATATTATAAAAACATAATTAGATACTAACTATTGTATCTTATATCTTGGACTTATACCATAAATATTGGATTTTCAAAAATATTAAATATGTATATTAAGAACTTAAAAAAATTTTTTGGCTATTTTTTTTGCATGAATGATATTCAGAAAATTTACCAGTCAATAGACATTTAACATTGCCCTACAACTACAGTAATATTATCAAATTACAATAATAATTAGTTTCTTTCTTAAATAAGTAAATATATATATATATATATATATCACTGAAGTAATGTTTCAGTTTAATGGAAAACTCTACTCTGTATAAGCTGATTGTGTAACTACCTTCATGATTTTAAGTATAATTGTTATAATTGATTGAAGTTATAAAAAAGTACATTTTAAGAACCTGTTAAGTTTTTATTGATAGTAATTATTTTTATCTTGTATGATAACACTTTTAATTTATATAATTATTTTAAAAGAATATTAAAATTAAATATTTTTATTTTATTGAACTTTAATTAATTAAAATTACAACAATACTTTTCAAAAAATAAGTAAACTTGTACAATTCTATTGTGTCCAAAGTAACTAAAATTGTAGAATATTTTTAAAATAAAAGAAGTTACTTTCAGGGTATTAAAAATTTATTAACTATATAATTATAATAAAAATAATTGAACAAAACATGAGTAATCATATCATTTTAAACATGAATATTTAAAATAAATTATCACATATGATAATTAATTGTCACTTGAGTTTTGGTTGTTATCACTTTGGGTTAGTTTTTCTGAAAATAAGAAACAAAAAATAATAATAAATTAAAAATTAACATTAGCATCAACAACTATGACACTTCAAAAAGAAGAATTGTGGGAATTATGTTTTAAATTGTAAATTTATATTATACCTAATTGGATACTACAAGGTGTATTAAATTTTTAAGGGGTTTATAGTGGTTTTTGAAAAATTTTACCTAAATTAAACTCTGGAATTATTCAATCAATAAGAAATTAACATAACCTCATTTTTAAAAACTGAAATTAATTATCTTTAGAAATAGCCTTAATAATTTAAAATACATCTCAAAATTATTATTTTTAGTCATTAAAGTAGGTACAGCTTTATTATAGCTATATGACTAAAAATGAAATATAATCTAAAAAACATTAAAATTAAACTAGTTTTTTTCTTCTTTGGAGTAGAAAAATAGGGCATATTTTTTAATGTAACAATTATTAGTTAAAAACATTTAATACCATAAACTTTTTTCATAGATAATTCATTGAACTTGCAAATAACCTAAAAAATTGAAATATTTTCATACTAAATAAAAATTTAGCCAGGTGAACCTTTTTAGATATAATTGAAAAATATTAGAAGTATGGGGCTCACCAATTCCATTAGAATTTTCTTTGATCAAAGGTATGTATGGCTGTGATATGGGAACAGTAGTTATAACTGCAATCAATTCATCATTTTGATCATCCCTTTTAAATTAAATTCAAAATATTAATTTTTTCTTAAATAGTTATACTTTATTTTTAACTTACCCTGTGTAGTGTGAATTATTAATAAAGTTTGAAGTAACTATTGTAGCATGACTATTGAATGACTGATTAACTTTTGAATGCAGTGAAGTAGACATATGAGGTATAATATTTGTTTGAGAGATATCCAAAGTATTTGGTGACTGATAATTTGATACATTAGAGTTACCCAATATTTGAGGGATCGTATCTGATAGTCCAAAATTTACAGAGTTTGATACATTTTGAGCTTCAGAATCTTTCAAATATAATTAATACAATTCAATATTTTGTATAATTAAATAATCAAGCATTAAAAGATTTTTATAATGTTAACCTTGTTGTCTATTATGATAATGTGATAAATCTTTGGCCATATTTGGTAAAAAAGTATTAACTTTGACCCAAGTAGCATCCCAAAATACTTTTTTACTATGTAATTCCTCCTTACTGTTAGCTTTACCATTTAGCATTACCAACAACATATTCTTTAGAGTTTCAGGAATGGCCTCATTCTAAAATAAAACAAATAGGAAAAAATTTTCAATGAACCAATTTAAATATTGTTAACATTCTTACCAGTGTATCACTATTATCAGAAATCATGAATTTATGCATTAACTCTAAAAGTGTAATCCATAAATCTACAAATGACGACAGAGATTGCAATTGCACCAAATGATGTAAGAAAACCTAAAAAAGATAATCATGTTAAATTTGATCTTCATTGTAAGAAAAATATAAATGTTAATACAATCATGTTGTACATTATAAAATAATAACTTAAAAAAATATGTACCGTAAAATCGAGTGAAATGGATCACAATGGTAAATTGGTCAGTGTCCAAAACATTCTTGTCAATCAGTTATAACAGTTACATAATATATCAGAACATTAGGTAACATACCACATAGTTCTGATAAATTTTACGACTGTTATAATTGATTGACAATAATGTTTCAGACATTGACTCAATTCACCCTCATAACTTGTTACACTCTATTTTACAGTAATTAAAATTAAAATGGTTATTTTACACTGCCATAGATCTAAAGTTTAAATTTTATATAGCCATACAATAATTTACAGTATCTAATAGTTTAAATATGTCATTAATCTATGTACTACATTTTTCCAAACAATTATTCTAATTACTAATTAAATCATGCAGCTAACTTATTTATTTTCATAAATAATGTACTTGCAATATTCTTAATTATTTCATAAAAATAATCAATACCTTAGATAAAAGTGTAGCAGACCTCATTTTGGTTTCATCTAATCCACTTGGATCAATATCTTTCCCACATTCTAACAGCCTGTTCATTAAAGGAAATAAAACTTTCCGAAAACATGCTTCCCATTCGTCTCCATTTAGTGTTGCTAAATCATGCATAAGTAAAGCTCGTTGCAAATAGGTGACTGCACTCATTCTTACCTATCAATAGAATATTTGAATAATAACAAAATAAAATAATATTAAAAATTGAAAATTGAAAATAGTGATTTTTTTATATAATTACATCACGTCTACAATCACAACAGAGACTAGCAATCCCTTGAAGAAGTGGACACCAACCATGATTCCACAAGGACATGAGCTCCATATCAGGATTTTCTTCTGCCCAACAACGGTATATGTCTGCAGTACTTGTATATAAAGTATGCATGAGATCTAATAACTTCCAATAAATGTCACATTATTATACCAATTTCACAACTTCTAATGAAATATATATGTATAATAAAATAATTACTTGAATAGAAACTTGAGAATAACTACTAGGAATATCCTCAGAATCACTATCATCAGCATCATATGGACTAGAATTTTTAATTTTATTTAAAACTTGATTTGTTTTTTTTTTGGATTTCATATTTTTTTGTCGCATATTTTTTTCTCCTAAAATTTCGTTTTAATTATTTTTTGTAAAAAAAGTACACAATTTATTTTACTTGTTTGCAAACTAGCCCGAGCAAAATTCATTATAACAGAAACACACTTGGCAAAATTGTAAGGTGTGATATGTGCAATATTGCGTACCAAAAAAGCCAAACATTCACAACACTTAACAAATGAAAATGGATTATGAAGAGTAAACATAGTGTTTTCAGTTCGTGTTTCTAAAACTCCTTTATTCTGTTCAACCTAGAAAAAAATAGGACTTAGGAAATAATTAAAACAATTAAATAAGATTTGACTTGGCATACTTTTAACCAACCAACATCACAATTATCAAGTGATGAAGATGAAGGTGAAAAAATATTATTTACAGATTTAACATCTAGTCCGCTATCATCATTATTATCACTTATACTAATTGGTTCATGATCCGAATTATTGTCTATAAATAAAAAAAAATATTTATTAAAATAAAGCTAATAACATATCAAAAAATATTGTATTCATCTTTACCAGGATGATTATTAGATATAACAACTCCAGCTCCTACATACTCTAATATTGTAAAAATTAAGCCCCAATCATCCTTAGTATGAATATTTGCAGCACACATTTTTAACAATTCATACATTCCAAATGCTATTTGTTTTCCGACTATTTGTAAAGAATTTGTATCAAGTAACAATAACATACTAAGTGACTGTAATATCTAAGAGTATAATAAAAGTCTTTAGTAAAAGTATAATAGGCAGATAATTATTTTTACCATTGTACTGATTTCTTCTCGTCTCATTAATCGTGAAGCTAATCTCATTAACCCAACAACAGTACGTTCTAAGAGAAATTTATGTTTGTTCTTAATTGCACTAGTCAGAAGATTGTATAAGTGCTGTTTTATTGGATCCCAAACAGTGTTAACTCTATCTCTAAAAAATAAATTTTAACTGTAAAAAAAAATTATTAGATAAATATTTTAGTCAATATAACAGTATACCGATTTTGTAAAACTATTTTAAGAAGCATTTCTAGTAGAAAACAAGCAGAATTTTCATTTTCCCGTGATCCTAATATAAGTACACTATCAGCATTGTAAAAAATTCCAAGGAGTGCCTAAAAATTGTTTTTACATTTTAGACTGAACATTATTTATGATAAATACATTTGTATACATAGTCACTGAAATTTAACGAACTAGCAGGTTTATCAATAAAATAAAAAAAATATGTATAATTTGTTGTTTTCTTTAAGACACTTATTTTTCTGAATTTATTAATCATGTGTATTATGTATGTTGCCATTTTAAAAATTAAGTCGATACCCTTATAAAGTATACAAGATGAACATAAGAAATACTGATGACTTATAAATTAAAAAAAACATGTATTAAAAAGAAATTAAAAAAAAAAAATTATCAATATTATTTTTTCTTCTTTATGAAATCCGCTAGTTTATTAAATTTTGATGATCTTGTATATTTACTCTAACTAAAGCTTCTAAAGATTCAATTGTAAGAAATTTTGATTCGGTTATCAAACTTTCTAAACGGCATTCTGATATACAAGTTTTAGCAGCTTCAATTAGTTCTGCTTCATTTGGTGTTTGTATTTTATGATAAGTAGGTTCTAGAAACACATTCATTAAAGTTTTAAGTTAATACTTGATATAAATGAGTAATTTTAATGTAATAGTACCACCACCAGATGCTATGTAAGAGTATAAAGAGCTGAATATTCCTGCGTCTGATTTTTGTGATCCTGGAGGAACTGTTTCTCGAATTAATGAAATTTTACCACTCAATTCCAAGAAATCTTCCGACTAAATTAAATTTTTTTTAAATACATATTAAATATGAAATATTTTTCATTATTGTTACCTCAACTAATATGGTTGGTAATAGATTGCACTTGTACAATTGCAAAATAATATCAAATAAACTATACCATCCTTCACGAATAATGTCACCATACATATGGGTAACACTAAAAAGAGTGCGAATAGCTAGTTGAGCTTTTGGATTGCTACCAAATAGTATTTTTATATTTTCAGGGCACTAAAAATTAATTAAAACTAAAATATTGGTTTTAATTAAATACATTTATAGAAATAGCCTATACAGCTTAATCAGGAATGAGTACATTGATACTGAGATATCAAGGTTCAACTGTTTAAAATGATTAAACTGTATAGTTTCTTCATAATTTGAACTACAAGAAATAGTTCAAAAATGAGAATGTTAAATATAAGTTTGAAAAAAACTCACATCTGGATTATTTTGTAGGTTGGTGAATTTACATAAAGACATTATCAAACTATCGAATTCTGCACACATACCATAATGTGCACAAATAAAAGCACATTTTCTAAAATATATATATTTTTATTGAGAATAATTTATTAATTTATTATTTATTAATTCCTAAATCTAACCTTAGACCAAAAACAGTCCTAGTATAAATAGTTTGATGGTTTGATTTGTCAAAAATTGAACTTAAAGCAGTTAATGTTGGTCCCCAGCATATAGAAAACAAAGCATGATCAAAAACACCACTTGGTGCTTGTACATAGGTTCCATCTTTACCTACAGCACGTCGAAGTAATACTTTCCATAAATAATTTTCTAGTACAGTACCACTCTGTTCGGCAGGCATTACAATTTCATTTGTTCTAAAATAATCATTCTATGATTTAATGATTAACTTAAAGTAAATACAAGTTTTTTCATTACTTTATGTCTTTATATATTTCCTCTAACATAGTTTGATCAAAGTCTTCACCACCATTCAATTTTTTCAGATTACGTTTGAATGCTTCAGGTGTCATAGGTTGATCAATTCTTCGGACATTTTGATTATGTTGGTCAACATTTAACATTATTATTGCATAGGCTAATAAAAACGCACATTCAGCATTTGCAAATGGTTCTCCATTACATTTCTGAAACATTTGAAAACATTTAAGACTTTACTGACCAAAGAATAATTTACAACTATTATAAATACATATTTTATATCTTACATGCCAATATTCAGTAAAAGGTTCCAATACAAAAGATATAAGTGGTGATTCTCCTGGTAATCTAAATGCTTCCAAATACATTCTAAGAGCCTCATCAATACGAGTGCCACTTAAATCAAAAGAACTATACAAAATTGAAAAAAAGTATAAACATAAATTTATAAAATAACCATAAATGTATAACTAACTTAATAAAACTATTTAAAATTTCCACATTAACTTTATTGCTTATGTATTCACCAATCATTTTTTTATCTAAAAGTGGGTTTTCTTTTAAAAAAGTAGCAATTTCAGCTGGAATTAATGGTATTGATAGAAGACCATGTTCTTGTAAGAATTCAATACCTTTTTTTGGTTTAGTATTAAATTTTTCTGTGCCCGAAGATAATAACTGTAATAATAGATTCTTTTATTTAAAAGCTTTTATTTTAACTTTTATATGAAAATAATGATTATTAAATGATATATTAACACTACAGTGTACTTTCCTAAAGTAAAAGTACTGTACATAATTTCTATTTCTACACATTTTTAAGCAGAAATTCATTTATAATTATTATTATTATACTACTTAAAGTTAATACTATCAAGAGATTACTGTAGTAACATTTCTAATAATAAATGACCTTTTTTTTTCTTTTGATAGCCATCAATTCTTCATGACTTGGAATGTTCATAGTAATATCTGTAGACCACTTTTCTATTTGTGTTTCAATTTCATACTTTTGATCATCAGACACTAAAATTATTATTTTTATATAAAATCATAAATTAAAAAATATGTCTCAATATAAATTACTGTCATAAGTTGAACTATTTTCTGATTTTTGAGTGAATTGGGTGCGATTATGACAATGTCTTTCTATAGAATCAACGACAGCTAAAAGAGCATCCATGGACAGTAAATGTGTACTGTAAATATCATTCAGTGGAATGACATTCTATAAAAAATTTACATTATTATTTTGTTAATTTTTACTTTCTGATTTTTAAAAATTAATATACTATAGCAAATTGAAAATGAAATAAAAATTTTTATCAACTTTAAAAAAAAAAAAAAAAAATTTTTGCTTAATTTATTATTTATGAGTAAATGTATAATTAGATTGGCTTTAATATGATATATTAAACAGAAGGGTCCACTATCATGTCACAGTAGTAAAACGATTTGAATACAATAAAACTTGAGCATACATATCCCCCAAAAAAATAATTTGATTTTATTTTCATTTTTCTTTAAATATAAATCCTAAAAAGTTAGTTAACAGCTCAAAAGAAATATTATTTGAATAAATATTTCATGTATAATGTTTAAAAAAAGTAAATAAAATTATTAAAAGTAGTAAAAACAACAAATTTTTCACAATTGCAAAAAGGTTTGACTCCATTATATATAATTTAAATATTTACTTTTGATAATAATTTAGTTATGTCATCATAAAGATCTGAGCAATAAAGTCCACAATCATAATTTAAATATAGTTCAGTTACAAGACCTGGAATCTTCCATAATTTCACAATGCATTCTAAAATAAATTTGTTTTATAATTAAGAATATAAATATAAATAAAAAAAATAGAATACAACAAATGTATCTAACAACTACTATAACTTTTGATACGATTAACATTTTGTTGTAACTTTTTATTTTTAATAATTTATGCATTCTTAGATAACATTAAAATTGAGTTTTTATTATTATTTGATTTAACAATAAAAAAAAAAGATTAAATTTTTGATAAAATGATCAATTTTTAGTACTTTACCTAACCTAGTATAACTTAATACATTTTTACAAAAATTATTAATTATTGATAACAATTTTAAGACAAGTAATTATTAAGTTTCATGCATTTTAATATATAGAGTGGGTGTGTAACGTGGAAGGAGTATGTTTAATAAAAGTACACCAGTATGCACTGAACCTACTCACATAAAACATACCTACTCTATATATAAAAATGTTTATAACTCAAAAATTACTTTCCCTAAAATTGTTATCGACCCATTAGTCATATTTGCAAAAAGACAAAAAATGCTAAGACCTTGTTAATTGTAATTTTAAAAATATTTAAAATAAAAAAATCATTATTTTTATATAAAAAAAAAACCCCAGCACAGTCAGGTTTCATATTTGGATCCAACATAGATGATATCTGACAGTGATTAAAATCACTATCATAAAAAACGCTTTGATGTAAATCTGAAGTGTTTAATTTAAAAAAATTAATGGATTATTCCAAAAGCTACAGGATCTCCTATTTCATTATTTATATTTTGATTACAAGTTTTATGATTTAGAAGTATAATATATGAATATATATATATATTAATAATATATAAATATAAATAGTACTTATCTCAAAAAAAATATAATGATCCATATATTTTTCAAAGAGTTATAGCATTACAAAGTTAAAAATATAAAAAAGAATTTTTTTACAATAATCTTATTTTTTTTATTAACTTTGATGTCTGTTTATACCATGAACATTTTTTTTTATAATAACGTATATTACATTAGCTTTAATTTAAGATATATATAAAAGTGTCAGTATTTTCGAAACACTTTCAAAAATTAAATTGAAAAAGTTTTACTTTCTATATGCATTTTTAAGATTTGAACCCCTCCTGTATTAAGGGAAATGGTCAGATTTAAAAAAAAGTAATTAGAATGAAAAAGGTATATAAATATTATTTCTCATAAAAAAATTGTATTGATCCATACATTTTTCAAAAAGTTATAGCATTTTAAAGTTAAAAATGTAAAATATAAGATCGAGAATTTTAACACAAAAATAGCATACGGTAGCCATTTTCACCGTGAAGACAAAATAAAATCCGAAATTTTTTTTTTCCATAATAAAATATATTACATAAGCTTTAATTTAAGATGTATATAAAAGTGTCAGTATTTCCAGAAAACTTTAAAAAGTTTAGTTGAAAAAGTTAATTTTTTGTGAAAAAGTTGTCTTTTTGAATCCCAGGTAAAGGGTCAAATTTATAAAAAAAATATACCAAATGATAGATAAGGACATTATGCATCTATTAAAAAAAAATTATATTGATTTGTTCAATTTTGAAAAAGTTATTGCAGTTTTAAGTAAAAAATAGTTGCCGTCTCAGAAACTGTGCGTCGCATTCGTCACTTAATAAAAATGGTAATTTAGCTAATTCAAAGTTTAAAGTTTTTTTTTTCGACTTGAAAGGAACAAAAAAATTTAAATATGTTTAACTTTTAATAATATGTCAATTAGATTGGTATAATATTTATGAAAATCAGTGTACTTCCCTTGTCATGTATTTTAAAATAAAATAAAATACAAAACCAAGAATTTTAACACAAAAATAGCATTGGTAGCCATTTTCAACGTGAAGACTAAATAAAGTCCGCAATTTTTTTTTCCATAATAAAGTATATTATATAAGATTTAATTTAATATAGAAGTGTCAGACTTTTCAGAACACTTTCAAAAGTTAAGTTGAAAAAGTTCTACTTTCTATATGTATTTTTTAGTTTTGAACCCCCCTGTATATAAGGATTAGTCCGATTAGAAAAAAAAGTATGTCAAATGAAAGATGTATATAAATAGTACTTGTCATGAAAAAATTGTATTAATAATTGTATTAAGTAAAAAAAATTGAAAAAATTACCGATTTTTAATTTTTTAATTTTTTTGGAGATTTCTCCCATTTACAGGGAACGACGGAAATGTTTTCAATTTTTAAGGGTAATGTCTTTGACTAGATACGATTTGTGATCTTTTGACGTATCGTTGAAAGAAATTGGTTCGGTGAGAGCTGAGAAAAAGTGGTAACAGACACA